AAAAAAAATAGTTTTTAAGATTGAACATTATACACATGCCACAAAAATTTTGAAAAAATATAAAACATATTGTTCCATATTTACTGTTGCTTCTTAATTGATAGTTGGGCGTAGAGTAGTTGTTAGTGTGTCAGTCTGTTTATCGATCGATCCAAGGTTTCATACGTGATTCACTGACCACACCATGCACTTTCATCTGCGGGCATCATATAGAAGTGATAATAAAACTCATTATTCGACTCAAGCATCCAGACAAAGATTTTGCTGGCTGGCTGCCCTTTCTGTAAGCAGTAGCTCAAGACAAGATGTTTGTACTCCAATATTTTGGATCACTTACTTGGCCGTTTACTTGAAAACTCCAGTTATTTAATTGGTATGATGTAACAACATGTCCGTATATTTATTTTTTACATTTTGTATTCCCATCTTTAGGGATTTTTTTTTTGTATATGGTACTAGGTAAACGACTCATTAATAACCTGACAGGAAAGATATTGTAATTCATGTCCAGTTTAAGGCATTGGTATTAGTTTTGAATCGAGTTAGGCTAGGATAAACCTAAAATTAACAATGAACTAGTATAATTTTTAAGGCATTGGTATTAGTTTTGAATCGAGTTAGGCTAGGATAAACCTAAAATTAACAATACTAGTATAATTAACTATAACACAGTTGTCAAGTGTGTTCAAGATAGTTTTTACAGTGCCAAACGCTAATTTTTAACTAAAAGTCGCAGAAGTAAATTAAAAAAAAAGCTATATTCACCAACTTTTGATCTAGCTTTACCATTGTAAGTTCGCCAGCTTACTTTAATTAAGCTAGCATTCTGTTATGATGTCGAGTACTTCAGGAATGAGCATAACAATGTATGTGCGAGATATATTGTTATGAAATATGCAGAAGTAGCTATGATAATCGTGTTGAATATCAGTAATAATTTTAAAACCATATTATTATCAGCGCAGTGAACAAACTGTTTGTGTTGTGCAATAGTTCGATGGTTATATGATGAGACTTTATGTAAAATAAGTTTTGATAATTAGTAGGACTGTTTAAGATAAACTGATATGATATCTGTTGTTGTTGTTGACGAAAAATATCAAATTGTTGTTGCTTATCATGATGACCCCTATTCGGAAGGTTCAATTTTGCACCTGTTTAAGCTTGTTTGAACACCTGCAATAACAAACGAATCATTGTTACAAACAAACTGAGACCTGACATGGCTAGGTGGTTAATCTGTGGGTCGCAGTTCGAATCTCCGCCCCACCAAACATGCTCGACATTTCAATCATACTATTCGTTGGTAAAAGATGACGGTGGGTGGTAATGACTGTCTGTCTTCCCTCTAGTCTTTCACTGCTAAATTAGAGACAGCTAGCGCAGATAGATTTGCGCGAAATTCGAAATAAACCAAACAAACTATAACGGACCTTGGTAGACCTTCTAAGACGAATCACATAAAATTAAGTTTAAAAATAGCCGCTGTTATTGTGCTTAAAAATTCGAATTCAACAGGCATTTAAAAAAGAACAGTATAATAAAATTGATAATTATCCTGATACGTCATAATGAATGTGTTATAAGTAAACTGACAATTCTCAAACGTTTCTAGGTGATTTTAAATAAGTAAAGAAGAGAATTGTTAATGTTGCTAATAAAACTGTCTAATGTTTTTATAAAATAATTTTATTCTCCTTATCCAAGTTCTCGGGTTACATGAGAAATAGCCCTGCAGAACTAAATGTTTGAAGGTACTACATAAGTAGGTGATATTATAAATTGAATATTTAACTTTGTATAATAAGAAGCTGTAAGGTTGGTTACACAGTGATCGCGCAAGATAAAACTAACCATTAATTTAATAGCGTTTACTGTTATAAGAATAAATTGTCGTTTTAAAAATAATTTATATGATGATTGGGGAATATAAAACAAGCATTTTCAGATATGTTGTATGGCAGGGTAAAAAGCATTCTTATCCCCTAATGTAACACCTTGTTAGTGGCCCGTATAACATCAACTATATACTTCTTTTGTCAAATATTTCGTAAACTAAACCTAATCCTTCAATGACTGATTGTTTATAAACCAAGTATTCTAAATACGTTGTGTCAGAAAACTAACAATCTCTCATTCATAACACAATCAGAACTACACGAAAAAAAAACAGTGCTTCATCTTACTGTGTAATTATTAACCGAAAGGTCAAGCCCTTCAAATGGAAGCCCCAGGGTTCTAAAAAAAGGGGTGTGCACCCTCATAGCCGTAAGGGTTCGAAAGCATAATCACGCGAACCAGAAAAAAGAAAGAATGTCTTTTTTTTTTTTAAAGATCTTTTCTGGCTGTTTTGTTAGCTGCTCACTTAAAGATAGCTTTCTTTCCTACTTGGATGAATCTAAAAGTATTCCTCAAACTACATTTATTATCATCATTTAAACTATTTTTGATAACAGCAAGACATGTTTTTCGGACATAAATTAGAAAAGCACAGTTTTATATAATATCGCATATAAAAATTGAAAAGTTTTTTTTTATTAACAAGAATAGAAAGTCTGTCATAATCATATGATTCTGCGCACAAATCAAAATCCGCGTGAATGCCCTTTAATGAGAAAGCTCAGTATTGTATATATATTGTATATGTTGTTAGATATATTTAAAATTAAAGAGTGACTGGAAAAAAAAATATTTAATGTTCCTGTATGCAGTTAGAGTGTAACAAACTAATCAGTATAAAATTACAACTAACGTTTCAAATATAGTTATAGCCGTATTTTTAGGGTTAATTACAAAAAATATTCCAATATAGGCCTCAAGTACGCACGTAAAAACAACAAATATAGAAAATTCAACAACTGTTCTAGCTTTTCTGGCTGATGTAGTTTTTAACCCTGCTGAGATAATTGTAGATCATGCTTGTGAACTTACTCGAGTATTTGCTGAGTCATTTAAATTTTACTTTATCGCTCATTTAAGACCTTGCTACGGGCTTCCATTTAAAATCTATAGGAAGTTCATTATACAAATTACCTAATTATCCATACATTTGAATACACTTACCACTCCATGATCATTAGTATGAGAAAAGGGAAACATTTTATCAGTGGCACACAATCATGTATGCTCCTTATAAATTATGCTTCTATTAAGTTTAGTGATTTTTATTTGTAATATGTAGAAAACGTTTATCGTTCAGTTTAGGTTTCCAGTACTTTAGGATACAATTGACTTCCAGAAAGTAGGTGATTCTAATTTCTTTTTTGAAGGAAGATTATGACATCCTAAAATCACATGAATATCAGTGATAATCACTTAGGTACTTGTTAACATTCCATAATAAGTTGTTTGTTTTTGTTAAGCGCAAGCCTACACAATGTGCTATCTGTGCTCTGACTACTGAGAGTATCGAAACCCAAAATTTAGCATTTTAAAACCTCATTTAAGAGAACATAAGCAGGGAAGTGAAGACACTTGTTGGTCACGAGCTAGGATTTTAGGAAACGAATCACGCTTTATGTAGATCAGACTTGGATATTGAGTGCTCTGTGGGTTCTTGCTACCTCCTTCAGCTCAAAGAACTAAACTGCAAGCACTTGTTCGTTTGGGGTTTTTCGGTGTAAAGCACCAAATCAATTTCTGCCAAACGAGATAATTTGTTAAACGACGCTCATGTGAAATTAGTTAAAAATATTATTGCATCTAAAATATCAGATGCACTATAGAAATAATTTTGTTTTTTAAAATGGAATTATAAGATTATATAGAATTAAAAGTCCTTTGGCACATAAATAGTTTAGCAGTGTTATCAATTCCATTGATACTGTATGAAAGTAAAACATGAACAGTTGTGACTTCAGTGTCACACAGCTTACACATTGGCGGCTTACTCATTTGCAGGAGAAGACAAAAAATCAAAATGATAAAACAAATGAGAAGACTTATCAGGATGACTTCATCTCTCTGATTACTCCACAAACTAGACGGCCATTTACTGATGATTGGTTTGATCTGGAAAAACATGCTGTATAGTTGCTCATCCGAAACGTCTGCCAACT